ATGGAGTAGCGCACAAAACAAGTGTTGCTTGTCAAACTGTCAAAGACTATCACATCAAAGATAACGATACACATATTGAATTCTTGATTGGGAATGAACAACTTTCGATTTTGACGAAAAACCAATTCAAACTTCTCTTTGTCTTTGGAATTGCTTCTTTTGAAAATATCACTGGACATTTAAACGATGCTGATGAAGAAGGATGAATGAAAGAAAGCGGATTTAAAGGGAAAGATTCGATGCACATTCGCCTCATAAATCATAATAGTAATATTCAGAAGTGAGAAAATATAATCATTTCAGTTGAAAAATAAAAATAAAATGCTCACGAAATATCAGCCAGATTGGTTCTTCATATTTTTTGCATAGAGTTTCATATATTTCAAGCAGAGACTGTTTTTCAGTGCAATGTATGTAAGGAGAAGTGCTTTGAGGAATAAAAATAATTAAAACAGAAATGATTTGAAATTATGGTTTTTTTATTTGATCGTATTCGATTGCATTTTATGAGTTTATGATTTAGACAGCTTCAACTTGTATGTATCTGAAACTAATACTAAACGAAGTTTTATTGCCAGATGATAAAAATGCAGTTTGTAGAGGTTCTCAGATATGATGCTGATTGAACATGATGCCAAAACTAAAGATTTGGCTTTGTTTAATATCGAAATGTGATAAACATAAAAACTACATGTTACTTTTCCACATGCAGTAAAGAATTTTTGTGCTCATAAATTTATTTTCTTTCTTGTAAATAAATATGTTTCACACATTACAAAGACAATTTTTTTACCTAACTGCTTGCCGTAGATTCAGCGTTGAATACAATGATGCCATCATATTCCGACATTGGAAAAAATCTTTAAAAAAAATCAAAAAGTAAAATCCTATTTTCAATTTGTTGCTGAGATTCATTGTACGAAAAAAGTGTTTTAAAATGTCGGCCGATAATTGGACGCATGAACTGGAAAAAGTGTTGACGAACATCGAACACCAGACGACGTCTTCACTACAAATCGTTAGTAGCTATTTCAAATACTCGAGTCAATCGTCCCACCAATCAACAGGTAATTAACTCTCCAAACATAAATATTTTGTATTTTATTCCGTTTGCTTATGATGATTTCTTCTTTTCTATTCTTTAGACTAAATGAGGTTTATTCCAAATTTGAATGTGAATCGCCGTTCGATAAAAGTCGAAATAGAAGTGTCCAAGTTTCCGAAAATTCATCGACGCTCGCCTCCATTTCAACCGAAAATAACAACGAAAATCCAATAATTGAAATCAGCGATGATGAGGATTCAGAAGAAGTGCCTAACACTAGCTCGCAACTATCCAGAGCGACTGCATTTCGAAATGTTGCCCGAAAGATTAGAACCGAGGATGATAAAAGCGATGGTCAAGCTTCAGTCGGGGAGATACCTAATGTCGAAATAAAAGAAGAAGAAGTGGAAAATGATGAGATTCCTATAGTTCGTGTTTCGGCTAATCAATTAATGGGTACATATACGGCGGTGTAAAACAGACCTGAATGAGTCAAAATCGAAACATAGAAAACATTGTAAATGTTCCATTGTTCAGGGTGTCATCGTAGATTTACGCAAAATATTGAAAAAGAAAAACGTGAAAGGGAGTCTGAACGACGTCGATACCAGTGCTATCTTTGCAACAGAGATGAAAATAAGAGAAAATGTGTTACTGTTGCAAAGGCTGCATTAGAAGCACATATGAGATACTGGAGAGAAACCGTTCTAGTTCATATGAGGACTTATAAAGATCATCCATTCCATTGTTCACGTTGTCACCGTGGATTTTCACAAAAAACTGCAAAAGAAGCAAACATGAAAGAGAGTGAAAGACACTTCGGCAGTTGGTTCCCTAGATATACTCTGAAGATTTTATATTAATATGAAATTTGGTAGAAAAGTAATAAAACTTTGATTTTTTGGAATTATGCTTAAGCCTTAAGATAAAAGGTTGCTTGTTTATTTGTTTTATTTTATTTTTTGTGTTTGGCCAAAAATTCGTTCATATACTTGACAAGTCTTTCGGTGTCTTCAATTGTGATGGCATTGTAAAGAGATGCACGAACACCACCAACCGTTGAATAACCTTTCAAATTGACCATTGACCATTTCTTTTCTTCTGTTCCATTTAAAAATTCAGCTTCCAATGTCTCATTGCCATTCACACCGCCGACTCGGAACACCGTATTCATTCGGCTTCGATATGGTTTATCAACCGGACAACTATAAAATCCGCGGGACTTTTCAATGCGACTGTATATTAATTGCGACTTTTTAAGTGAATGCTTATACATTGCGTTGACACCGCCCATTTTTTGGTTCCATAACAATACTTTGCCAACAATGTAAATGCTGCAAATCATAATCGATTAACTTCGTAAGTTCAGAGAAGGGAGATTTTTGTTTTGCTTACATGAATGTAGCTGGAGTATTGTATAGAGAATTGTCATCCGATTGTTCTTTGAAGCTCAAAATGCCAGGGGTGATTGGCAATGCATCGTTCAAAAGATCATCACGAATAATTGCCACAGATACACCAGACGGACCACTGTTCTTTTGCACACCAGCGAAAATGATTCCAAACTGAAATTTGAACGCGATGCGGTTAAACGATCTCTTATTAAAATTCATTCAATAAAAGCATTGCTTACCTTCGTAACGTTGATCGGCCTTGAGAAAATATTTGACGTCATATCAGCAACCAATGGGACGCCATTTGTCTCTGGAATGAACGGGAATTCAACTCCTGGAAAGAGAGAAAGAAAGGACGTCATTTAAATGAAGAAAGAAGGTGCACAAGAAATTATGGAAATAATTACCGTCAACAGTTTCATTGTCACAATAATACACGTATGATGCATTCGCATTCAATTTCCATGTCGATTGATTCGGAATGGTGGTGTATTTACCAACTTTTGGCAACACCAAATTAACATTTCCGTATTTGGCTGCCTCTTTTGCAGCTCGTGCTGAGAAAAAGCCTATTCATGAAATTAATACATTAGACATGTGAGAATAAGTTCTTCAATTCATTCATATGTGCTGACGTGGATTTATTTTTACAATTATCTGTTTCTGTCTGTTTTTCATTTACTCACCTGTGACAACGTAATCGGCGGTACCAGTACGACCGATCAAATTCATCGGAATGCCGGCAAACATACCCGACGCACCGCCTGGTAAAAATAAGACCTAAATAAAGAGTCTTACGGGAGTAAGACGAACTTTTCCGCACTGTGGTAGTTGCATATTTTATTAAGAAAATTCAAAATAATATTTGCTCGATTCTTCAAGTCTTTCAAGCGGCGTAAAGTTCGAGACCAAAAAATATTTTT